GATCTATATCAGATAATTTAGTACCATCCCAATTTGGAGCTTTTGAAGCTAGAGAGGGGAAGGGAGAGATAAGCGCATACTCGACATGGTAGACATCATTATAGTGGATCAGCCGTAGATCCGGAGATCCAGTTCGATCAGAGGAATAAGTGACGGATAGACCGTCTGTTTCGACGTTTGACATGGAAGTCCCGACTTTATGGAATATAAATGAAGAGATAATTGAAGAGGGAAGAGGCGGAAGAGAAGAGAGTAAAGAGAGAGGGGAGATAAACACGAGGGGAAGCCGCGGCATTCCATGGCGGATGCCTGGAGGCGGATGCCTGGGTGCCTCGATGCCTGATAGACGTGACGTCATAGCCCGGGAGTAATATTGGAATTAAAAATAAAAGCAAAACGCCATGCCAGAGGTATCCTAAAATTTTAAAGGTCATGATTTCACAGCTTTTGTTCCGCCACCGTCCATCGCCGCTTTCCAGCTTCACGATCCTCCAAGGGTTGAGCACTCCCCCATAAACCACGCTGTGACTGTGTCCGTTGGGGTAACTGCTTCGTCCAGCCAAGATCTGTAGGCTTGGCTGACCCATCAGGGACTGCCGAATCTTGACTGACCGGTCGATCGCCGAAGTTCGGCACAAAGTTCTCCTCTGCATCCGATTTATCAGTGGGCGTCGAGTTCCAAAGTCCAGAAGCAACACGAGAAGTAGTTGAACTAGTTGATGGGCGCATCGCCAGCGTCCATGCCTGGGGGCTATTACTAGTTGGCCCATTTGGTAATGTTTCTTGGAAGACCGACGGGCGAGAGCCAAGACGATTCCGATAGGAAGAGACTGGAGGCGGTGAAAGTACATGGGGAACGGAGGGAGATAACAACGAGGTGAGCTGTGAGGGGTTCATTCCCGGGCGCAGATGGTCTGTCGATGCCACAAGCTGCAAGGAGTATTCCCGTGACACCGATTGGTTTACTGGGCCCGGGGATTTAGGCGTGTGATCCCTGTGATGCGGTTTGTTGACACGGTTGCGTCGCACAGCCATAGTGAGTGAAGCTGTGTTAATATCGAGTAAGACCGAGTGTCCATTCAACGCACTGATCAAAGCATTGCAATCCGCGCCATGTGTGATAATAACAAGGACTGTTTGTGCATTACCGTGATTTACCTCACCGTTCGACTCCGTAGAACCGTCTTCAGATTGATCCTGCTCCCGGTACCATTTAATCATGTGTTGAAATCCATCATACACCCGTTCGTGCATGGTACTCCATTCCTCGCCAAATTCGCCCCCTGTGCCCCAATAAGGAGTGCGCATACTGTCCCACTGGTAGTCGATCCTCGTACATGCGTTCCGTGCATGAGCAACATATCCCGTAGGAATGGGATCCGAGTTGGAAACAGCATAACCAGGAGTTGGTGGTACATAATATGCGTTTGAAGTAGGCGGAGTAGGCGGGAGGTCTGTTTCCAGGCGACCGAGAGTCTTCTTTGCATGTTTGAGGTGGATAGGCTTCTGAAGAGTGTCGTGGGTGCTGGCACGCTGGCGCTGAGATGTTGCGGAATGCAAGCCGCGGTCTTCATCAACCGGCGAAGTAGGATGTGACTGGCTACGCCAACCGCCAGGGAAGTGACCTGACAACGCCCTTGTCACCCCATCGGTGGGTGGGATGACCTCGGCACGACGGAGTAATTCCCCTTTGGCAGACGCCACCATTCTTTCCGAGCCCGGCGGTGGTGTGATCTGGTCAAAGTAGTCGGGTGATAGCCATTCGCCCAAAAATGCGTCGACGCGAAGCAGACATCGCTGGTCACTTTTTGATGAAACTGCGGGGACAGTGGAAGCTGGACTAGTTGTTTCGGATGCTTCTGTGTCTGAGGTTTCTTGGTTGATACCAGCACTAACCCCTATTGCAGTTTGCAGACACCGAAGATAAGGAGAGGTATGTACAATGACGTTGTATCGGTTGGACAGGTCCGAGGATGCGGGGGTGGGTTTTGCCTGTTTATCCGAGGTCGGATGACCGGTGCGCTGACTCTCTGGATCTTCTCCGGTGAACTGCCGGGCCCTTAGGAGACTTCCTATACGTATACCAAGTGCTCGAGACTGCATCCATCCACCGTAGGAAAGAGGTGGATCGAATGGGCTTGCAGAGGTTAAGTGCCAATTTTTGTCTGCAGCATCGAGTCGGGCGCCATGTCTAGAAGGCTAGTGAGCAGCGGAAGCAGTTCAATAGAAGTAAATACTCACCTGGCAATGAACACAATAGGTGGTGATTTTTTCATCGAGGTCAATAGGTATCCTTGGACCCCACGTCACTTTTTTTTTTTTTTCGCGGGGAAGATGCAGCGTTAACGCCGTCTCCGAAGCTTGTAGAGAATGGCAACCGGAATGGAAACACGTTAAAATATCAAAAAAGAAGACCTGTAACTGGTCAACCGGGTATCGCAACAAACATATTGAGTCTTAATGAAAAGAGTATGTAAAAGAAAAGTGAAGAGAGCGAAAGTTGAAAGGAACAGCTTAAGCCTGGGGCAGGTCCGGCATGTGATGCTTACTAACAAACAAAACAACCCGACCAGTTTAGGCAGCCCTATGTTGTAGAGGGCTTCAAGGCTAAAGAGTACAACGTTGTAGATAACATATAACGTTCCATAGCATATAATAACTATAGTCAAATATATCAAGTTGACATTACGTTGAAGTTTTGGAATGCCTAATTTGATAATTTCAATCAAAATTCTAAGAGTTATGTATTGCTGTCCACAGGTATAGATCACTGCTTCGAGGCTTTAAGCTAATGATTTAGCCTAATAGGAGACTGCATAAACTATTTAACCATTTTACCACAAAGCAAACCCTAAATTGAACGAGTCTTTCATACATCAAAGTTGCAAAATATTTAGATTGACAACTCCAATTCCGTCGGATCAGACCCGACTACATGTGACTAAGTGTGCCTGCCACCTGGACATAACTCTCTTACTGGATACTGCCTGACCAGAAGTTATCGCCTTCTCGAAGTATTGTATGCCATTTCTATTTGTGTTTGTATACTACTAAGAAAAGAGGCACCTAAGAAGCTAAGGAAGGGTAGGATGCTAAGACAGCCTAGAGTATATAGCAAACTAGTTTAACACTAAAAACTATGTAGGCTCAATACTACTTCTTATCTGATCTTTGTACTGGTCTTTTTACTGGTCCTTTATGGCTTCTTTCTAAAAAAAACAAATAAAACTAGTTTATAGTATAGAATCATTATAGAATATTCAGCTAAAAGGTATCAATTAAATATACTTAGAGTATGCATATGGTAAATTAATAGAATTTTGACTAAAGACTTTATTTACTGCTAACCCTAGAAAGTGAGAGTGGACTAAATTACTGCCTGGCAAAATCCAATAATAATGAAAAAAGGGTACCCGACGGTAGACTACCGCAAAGCCCATAATTGGGCCCCCACCCCAGGCCCAAGGCTCAACCCGCAGTGGGATATTAAGCAATTTCACGCCTCGTCATCATCAAGGGCTGGCTGCTTCCCTTGTTGCTACAATGGTCAAATACTCTATCTCCCTTGGCCTAGGGTTCGCGGGCATGGTAGAAACGCAAGTTAACGATATAGGGAACAATGTTCTACGGGATTACCGCGGTGCGCTGTACATGGGAATTGGACTGGCGTCACTGGGTCTCATCCTATCGATATGTTTTATGCTTACAAGCTGGAGATAGTATCGCAATAATCAAATGAGCTAGGGATAGATGTGGCGTGCCGAATTTTTAAAAGGCACGCATTAGATGTTATTATCTATTAGATCATATAAGATATCTAGGTTTTGTTACTGTAATTGTTTATCCTTATCTCTAATTCCTAGGAGGACGCAAGCAGAAACTTCCCATGGATGTTTATGAGCTAGGATATCAATCAAGGGATATGAGAGGTGGCAGGTGGAATGTGGATGTCACTACTCCATATGCATGGGAAGGGAAGCCTTCACACATTCCATTGACGTCAGACTTTTGGCTGCAGACGTCAAAAAATAGAAAGGAGTATATAAACACAATGAATCTTGTTTTCTAATCTCTTGTGACTAGAGTCAGGCTCGTGATTCACTCCCTCTCCACACCTCAGTCCAGACTTGGGAAAGTGATCTCCAGGGCTAGCTTGAACTTGAATTTCAAATTCTGTTCATTCTCTCATCTATAATGCGTCTTCAATGGATTTGTACGCTGTTCATCGGAACCGTGATTGCCATTCCCTATGGTGGCCAGGAAGTAAGTCTCTGTTGTCTAAGGTTATATTCAATGTTAATCCCACTGACTTTTATCTTGCAGTACCGAGAGGTATGACCATTAACCTAAAGATTTATCTCTAATACAGTCTAATATGTCTTTTAGGATGTGAAGCAGCCTTCAACTTTGACCATGCCCAAACCCATGTCCGCATTTGCACCAATAAAGAGGGCGATTGAGATTTCCCGTGGACCTCGCTCAGTAGATGCCCAGAAGAGAATGCTGCCGTATGAATATGAGTTCCTTTGAACCATTTTGGGAATCTAAGCTTATATGAATTGAACCAGATTTTGAATCACAGACTTGTATAGACCTCTCCGGGGCTGGTGTTGGTTGATCCTCGATAATACGGGACCATATTTCCGATATATAAAAGTAGACAAAAATAGATGGTTATACCGAAACTCGGGATATAATGTACCGGATAATGCCTGGCACTCGAGACATTTCCCTACTACAGTCCCTCCGCAAAGGTTTTCGTGGATTCGGCCCCGCGTTTTCAAAGCGCGTCAGATTCAACCTACCCTTTTAAACCATCAACCATAGTACCCAGGGTGTAACTATCGAAAGTGGACTCGAGATATGTCTCATAGTTTCTTGAATCGATCACTGGTATTCTCTCTTGAAGGGTGGTGAACATGGTAATTGAAGTTGACTTCATAAAATTAAGATTGGCCCAGACCTAACCAAATACTAATACAGAAGTGGCAAGAGTGTGTTCATGCGGAAACTTGGCCCCATAGCGCGATATCCAGCAGACTAGCGAGATTGGTCGTACCGTCCTCTCTAATAACAGCGCACTCAGAGCCTCTCAACTCTTCCCAGTCCCGAAGATATCGTTCAATGACCTCTCCCATAGCAGATGCATCGAAAATTTCGCACATTCTCCAATGCGCATCGAGAATTGCGGGGCTTGGAATCTAATGCTCTGTGTTTGGTAAAAATCGGACGCGCCGATCGGAGAGAATGGCGCGGATGTCAGCCGGGGGATAGCACTTGTAAGTCTTCACCTCGTACTCGTTTTCGATGCCCTGATAAGAAGAGTGAGCATGAATGGTTTCATGGTAGATCATTGCCTGCTTACGGTAGGCTTCAAGGCAATTGTGAATATGCCAAACTGGGTATGCACCGAGTCTCGAAGAGTGATCCCATTGCGAAGAGTGTTGATCTCCTCTGCTGAAAGTATTTTGCGTAGCGCAGGGAAACACTTGTACAGTAAAGACCAGGTAGTTGATGTGTCTCTTGGCGCTCCGGACACCCCTGACCAAGAGGCAAACGCAAAAGGTATTATGTGAGCCCCCTCAGTCGGGCCATGGAAAACATTTCTTGGTTCTCCTTCGCGCTCCCATTGATCAGTGTTCAGTTGACCCGTTATCACACAGCAATAGGTATCCCGCAGTTGGAGCTGTGCCCCAAACGAAGGGTCACGCGTTTTGGGTTGATTGAGGGTGGAGGCAACTGTATCGACGTGCTCCTGGCGCTTTGAGTGAGGACTTTCCACAACCGAGGGTGTTTTTGATCGGGATTTCACTTTTTAGTAATGTTGAGAAAAGTCAATGGATACTTTTGAACGGAAATTACTTATTCGGTGCAGCAATTCCGGTGAAAAGGTTCTCAAAAACATCGTACAGCTCTCCGTCGGAGCTTTTCTGAATAACATCCCTCGCGAGTGTGGTTCTACCGGCCTCTGGTAGCCACGTGAGAAATGCATCCAAGCCGCTTTTCAACAGCGTCTCGTGACGGAGAGACTGGTTTTCATAAGCGTGGACCTTAACCCGGGCGTCTTTCTCTAAGCTTGTCAGTGAGTCTGCAGTGTCTGTGGAGAGTGTTGACAGTCTGTGGGGTGCTGTGGGCGGGAGTGCTGTGGGCGGGGATGTTCTTGCTAATCGACGCATAGCTCGTTGGTCACGCGGCGTATTGGAAGGTGAAGCTGATCGATTTCTCTTTGCCATTTTTGTAAGGGGCGTATTGCATAGAATTGATAGACGCCAAGTGAAGGAAGATCTGCAGAATGTGTGGGGTGTTGGTTCGAGCGTCTATGACCGACCCACTTCTGTTGTTAATAATTCGGCAATTGGTTTTACTGTAAATGGACATAGCCGGGTCGTAATAAGTAGCCGAGTGGTTTTCCGACCGGGGCCGACTTCGGGGCCGTTATCTGATCTTCTTTCTGTGAAGTATATATTTTATGGACCCCCACGTTTCTCTTTTTTTTTTTTTTTGCTTCATATCCCAAGCTAGAGCGATAAATAAGATGGCAAACAAGACTATTCCCCATTCCTCTTTGTGCGTTACCACGACAGACTTTGAGAAGGTCGCAAAAAATGTCCTGCCGGAGAAGTCATGGGTTTATGCATCAAGCTCAGCTGCTTCGGGCCTGTCAATGAGAACCAATCTCGATGACTGGTCTCTGATCAACTTTCGACCCCGGATCTTAAGGAGTGTTGATTCAATGGACACTCGAAGGAACATCTTGGGACATACATCCCAGTTCCCCTTCTTCGTATCGGCTATGGGTACACTGGGCAGCTCACACCCTGGCGCTGAACCCTTGCTGGTGAGAGGAGCAACTCGCAAAGGCATGCACACCATGATCAGTACCGCATCTACGAAGCCACTGGAAGAGATCATGGACGCTCATCTCGACGAGCAACGACTACTTGGCAATCAAAGCCCTTCGAATTTGTCATTCCAGCTCTACGTTCCTGTGGACCGGACAAGAGCTAAAACGCTCATTCAAAGAGTCAAGGCAGCCGGATATCAAAGTCTGTGGGTCACAGTGGACACCTCGACACTAGGAAAGCGTACTGCCGATCGGTACCTCCAAGCACAAGAAAATCTCGACGCTGGTTTGGCCGGAAATGCAAGAGAGATTCACAATGAGAACGATTTCGCGCCAGCGTTCGGTGGTCGGCAGGTTCCTGGTTCGGTAGATGCTGGTCTCACTTGGGAGGATTTGGACTGGATTGCATCAGAGTGGGGTGGCCCACTGGTTCTCAAGGGAATCCAAAGCGTAGAGGACGTGAAGCTGGCTGTGCAACATGGTGTGCATGGAATTCTATTGAGCAACCATGGAGGTAGGCAGATTCATTCCGCCCCAAGCTCTCTGATGACACTCCTGGAGATTCGCACGTATTACCCTGAGGCCTTCGACAAGCTCCAAGTGTTTGTCGACGGAGGCCTTCGTGACGGAGCAGACGTCCTCAAGGCATTGTGTCTCGGAGCAACCGCAGTTGGTGTGGGCCGGCCTTACTACTATGCTCTCGCGGCATACGGCGCCGAAGGAGTGGAAAGATGCACAGACAGTAAGTTAAGACTGGATTTCAAGTCAAGGTCACGCTAACACAATCGCAGTCCTCGCCGAAGAACTTGAAATCACCATGAAGATGCTTGGAGTCTCTTCCCTAGACCAATTGACGCCGGATATGGTAAACACAAGCCGACTGTCGAACGAAATGTGGCGACCAGTATTTGGAAAGTCCAAGTTGTAAAAAAGAAATTTGTGAATTTATTCATTTGGTCAAATGGACCATTGTGTATCCCTATGTATTTAATTGAGATTGGTATACTAAAAAAATTTCATGCTCGCTATACAACCCATTCAAACAGCACCCCAGCCACCACCGCCCGGAGTGTTGATCACAATCCGGTCGTGTGTCTTCATCGAAACGGTGTTTTTGCCGCCGATGTTGATACGGCGCTCAGCGCCAGTTTCCTCATCGCGTGTGATCCACAGATTGAATCCGGTCTCCGCGGCCTCACCACCTTCAATCCCGTAAGGCCGGTGAACGCGGCGCTCAGACAGAATCGAACATTGAATTGGTGAAAGGAATTCAATATCGCGAACCACTCCCTCACCACCGGGGTTTTTGCCCTTGCCACCAGAGCCCTCGCGTAGGGTGAACTGGCGGAGCATCGTGGGGTAGCGCTTTTCCAGGATCTCGGGATCGGTAATCCGCGTGTTGGTCATGTGAACGTGAATACCAGACTCGCCCTTCCAAGTTGGGCCAGCACCACTGCCACCAGCAATGGTCTCGTAATATCCGAATCCAGGCTTAATGACAGCGCCAGTGGAGGGATCAAGCTTGGCGTCTGTACCGAAGGTCAGGTTGTTGCAGCAGCCCTGGGACGCGGCACAAGCCTGGAAGGCCTTGAACACGACGTCAGTGATGCGTTGGGAGGTGACAACGTTGCCGCCAACGACGGCAGCAGTCTTGCTTGGTGACAGAATGCTGGATGTTGGGACACGAATGTCAATTGGCGCCAGGCATCCCTGGTTCAGTGGGACATCTGCGTTGATCATGCAGCGCAGACAGTAGATGATGGCGGAGTGGGTAATGGCAATGGGAGCGTTCCAGCTGCCGTACACCTCAGGGCCAGTGCCCTCGAAGTCGAAGATAGCTGATCCATCAGTGCCATCAATGGTGACCTTCAAGCGAATGGGGGTACCATCATCCATGTAGTCGACCGATTCCAATGGCTGGCCATTGAACTTCTTGTATAGCTCCTTGAGAAGATTGCGCACAGCAGACTCGGCGGTTGCCTGGATGGCGTACATGTACTTTTGCACGGTCTGGGTTCCATATTCGTTGAACAGAGTTTGGATCAAGCTGATTCCACGAGCGTTGGCGGCAATCTGGGCCTTCAGATCGGACAAGTTGTCGCTGATGCAGCGGGCTCCAGCGCAGCCGGGGTATTGCGAGGGCTTTGTGACAAGCAACTCGATCAAACGGGCCTCATCCAAGACACCATCGCTGACAATCTTGTCACCTTCGATGGCGGCACCTTCTTGCCACAGCTCGGTGGATTTGGGAGGCATAGATCCAGGTAAGATACCACCAATATCAGCGTGGTGACCACGAGAAGCCACGTAGAACATGATCTCGGAACCACCAGGTCGGTCAAAGACAGGTGTGATGATCTATGAACATGTTAGTATCTGATGAGAGTACTCAATGTGAAGAAGACTTACTGTAATATCGGGAAGATGGGTGCCTCCGCAGCTAGGGTGATTAGCCACCAGAACATCACCATCCTTCAAGTTGCCTAGCCACTTCTCATGCTGATAACGCACGGCAAATTGCATCGATCCAAGATGAACCGGCACATGGGGCGCATTGGCAACCAAGCCTCCATCGGGGGAGAAGAGAGCACAAGAGAAATCCAGGCGCTCCTTGATGTTGGTTGAAACGGAGGTCTTCTGCAGGGTACGACCCATTTGCTCAGCGATGGACATGAATCGGTGTCCGAAAATAGTAAGTCTGATGGGGTCGATATCCGATGACACGGCGCTTCCGGAAGAGGTTGGTTCGTCCTGGAGATCGATGACAACGCAGGTGTCGAGCAGGTTCGCCACCGCATTGGGAGCGACGACGATTGTTTGAGTTTGATCAATGATGACAGCCGGGCCATAAATGCGGGAATTCTTCTCCAACTCACCCAGAAGGTAAACCGGTGTATCGGTCCGACTCGAATCGCCGAAGTAGGCTGAAGTGGTGTTGTTCGGAGCCATCGCGACATCTCGCATAGTGGCTGCCTTCAGTTGAACCAAAGGACTTTCCTCGGAGCGCACCTTGGATGAAGCGATGGTTCGCACTCGAACGTCATCAACAAGAACAGGTCGGTCAGAGTTGAAGTTGAATTCGCGGCGGTGACGAATGCGGAACTCCTCCAGGAAATCTTCCGAGTTCTCGGGCTTCAGGATCATCAGACTGGTATCGGAACCTTCGTAGCGCATGTTCAAATATTGCTCATGGCGCACTTGGGTGGAAGGGAAGCCTTGGGATTCCATATCCTTGGTCGCTGCTGCTGACAAGTTCTCGAGGTGTTGAAGAAGATCAGACTGGGAAGATAGGTAGTCTGACGAAACAGGCTCCTGGGACTCCTTGACAACCTCTGCCAGAGCAAGACCGTACGCTGACAGAATGGAAGAGTACTTGTGAATGATGATGCGGGAGATGCCGAGAGTTTTGGCCACTGAGCATGCGTGCTGGCCACCAGCACCTCCAAAGCATGCCAAATGGTGAGATGCGGTCTCGTAGCCACGAGCCTCTGTGAGGTTACGGATCGGCCGGGACATAGCCTCATCTGCAACATTGAGGAAGCCAAGTGCGACTTCCTCTGCGGAAAACTCTGACTGGCCTTGCTGTTTGCGTTCGATGTTGATCTTTTGTGTGAGTTCATTGAAAAGGCGTGCAGTCGTCTCTGTGTCCAGAGCTTCGTTCTCGTTAGGACCGAAGATCTTGGGGAAGTATTCCGGCAGAAGACGGCCTAGGAACAGATTGGCATCTGTCACTGTGAGAGGGCCCCCCTTGCGGTAGCATGCAGGACCAGGGTGAGCACTTGCAGACTCAGGCCCGACATAGAATAGGCCATTGCGCCAAGTGAGGATGGAACCACCGCCAGCAGCGACAGTGATGATATCAAGCTGAGGGGACTGGATCATCACGCCTGCAACCTTGGATGCAAATACATGTTCAAGGTGGCCATCGAATCTGGAGACATCTGTGCTGGTGCCGCCCATATCGAAACCAATGACGGGGGTCTTCTCTGTGGGATCCCAGCTGGTGGCTGCAAAGCCGACCACTCCAGCAGCGGGGCCGGACAGAATCGCCTTCAGGCCGCTGAATTTGCGGAAATCGACCAGTCCACCATCTGATTGCATGAACTCAAATCGGCAATCCTGCTGGCTCTCCAGACCACCTTCAAAGCTGGAAGAGATGGAGTCGATGTATGTCTTAATAACAGGTGTGAGGTAGGCATCGGCGGCGGCCGACATGCCACGAGGCACGATCTTGATCATGGGTTGAAGTTTTGAAGAGAGGGTAACCGAGAATCCCATCTCTTGAGCAAGCTCGCCGATTTGACGCTCATGTTCGGGGTATGCGTAGGAATGCAATAGCGCCACAGAGATTGACAGAATCCCTTGCTCCTTCAGTCGTTGGAGCTCTGCCTTCACCTGAGCGATGTCTAGTTCTTGCACCACACGGAATTTTTCACCGGTGGTTCCCTCTACCATACGGCAGTCGGAGAAGCAATCGCTGTCAGCAGAAGGATGACAGGACAGCACACGCTCGTTGACCTCGACGACACTCTCCGGGAGAACTCCGGGGCGAGCCATTGATAAATCAAAAATGGCGGGGCGAGATTGATCGCCAATTTTTAATAAATCTTTAAATCCTTTGGTTGTGAAGAGGACTGAACGAGCGCCCTTGCGCTCGAGCAAGGCATTGGTGGCAACGGTTGTGCCCATGCGTAGGCAACCAATGCGGTCGAGCTTCAATGGTTGGCCTCGGGGATGTGACTCCCCAGTGGCCAACTCTAAAATGCGACGGATGCCCTCAGTTGGGGCATCTTGGTAGTTAGAAGGATCGACAGAGAGAAGCTTCAAGATAATGTCGGGGCGGCCAGGTTGAATCGCGTGGACATCAGTAAATGTGCCGCCACGATCGATAGAGATAGTGATCTTCCCTGAGTCAGACATTGTGACTAGTGTGAATGGGAAGATATGAGATGGGTATAAGAAAAGGAAAGGAAAGAATAACAGATAAAGATGGTCAGAAGGGATCCGTATTCATTTATGTCACAGAGCTCGTCCCGATACCCCAGGCCATCTCCAATGATCATCGCCGTCTTACCCATTAGATGCGTGTCACGTGTCGGGCCGATGACTCCGATTTCGGCTTCCCCGGGCCGTCATCTCCACGGCTTGATAAGCCGCGGGGTTTGGAGGGGAAAGATAGGGGGCTCATATGTGAGCTAAAATGATAAGAAGAATGATAGCAATTTGCGGAGAAATGCAAGTCATATATGTGGGCCTCAGGCATTCATGCCCATTTCGAAGGGTAAGTGTATATAAACTACATAAATACTACTAGTACTAAGCACACAATACAGTGGAAAGATTTTTAAATGGTATATATTTGTCTTTATCGCTTTAAAGTATTCTCAATCCAGTCAGTGTCCATATCAATGTCGATTTGATCCAAAGCCCCCTCCCAGAGTGCTGGATCATCGTTAAGATCAAACTGGAAGGCAATATCCCGGAAAGACGGGAGATCTGGCTGTTGCGGCCAGTTATAAGTAAGCACTTGTGAAGCTGCTAACTCTGTGCTCGAATCTGGAACATTGTCTGATACAGTTGCGCCGTTTTCGGTCATTGGCGTCACAGGGGCCTTTTGACCTGCATCAAGAGAATTCGCCGTATCAGTATCCTTTTCTTCGGCGCGTCTAGGCCCAATGGCTGCGCGTAATTCCAACAGTAATGTGTGACGGGAGTCCAAATATGTATTTCCGCGATCTGCCATACCGCGAAGAAGGCTCAGTGCGGTCTCCATGGCCCGGGCGTTGGTCTCATTAGGCGGAAACGCGGCATTCACCATGACCAGCAGCAATGCAGCGGAGAAGACATATTCACCATCGAGGTATCCATATGTGGCTAAAAAATTCGTTTAATCAGATGATTTCATGACAAAAGAAATGGGGTTGTATCGCGATCGCCTACCAACGAGATTATGTTTTGCAGCTGCATCCATGATCACAGTGGTTGCTCGCGCTGCTGTGATACAGCTGTCAATGACGGCGACGGTATTGGGAGCCAGCCCTTCTTTCCAGTCTTCTGTTGCGGATCCAAGGGCTTCTGCGTCGAGTCGCCGTTGGATGACATAAAAGACCAACGGGCGTGCAGTCATATTCACACATGAGTAGAAGTGCAAATTGATCGAGACAGACTCTCGATTGATGTGGGTATCGAGTGTAGTGAAATCGATACGGAGCCGGTCTGGTACTTGCCGCAGCCAGCCAGAAAGGTCATTTGTGATACTTTGGACAGAAGCAACAAGGTTGGATCCGGATCCAGGTTTCTTTCTGTAGATTTCTGATGTGGTCATCTAGGTCAGCTTGGCAATAGGAGAAAATCAGGGAGGGATTCTACCTTCCCCGATCCGTCCCAATATACGCGATAATTGTGTATAATGAGTGAGAACGGTTGATGGCCATGGATCGAAGTTTGATCCACCCTAGGTAGAAAAAGCCAAGTCAGCTAATATATAGACATACCATGGAAGGTAACATACCACAGTTGTGGGCCAAGTTATCCCAATGTCTCCGTCATGAATTGTAATAGGATTGCCAGACTTGACCGAGAGTAACCTGTTCATAAATATGAGTCTTGCTTTCGGAAAACTGAGAGAATTGGCCAAATTACCGGTCCAAGCTGTACACAGACCACCAAGCCCGACGTCGACGGTTGCGATCTCCTTCACTTATTGAGGGGTCAGACACCTCTTGATGCAGACCTAGGGAAATGGCCATGCGCAGAGCGAGTCCGATCTGACGTCGTTAGTACAGCAGAAGGCCAATGGAAGTGATACATACATAGAGGAAGGCAGCGTCCCGCCTGTTGAGATTCTGCATATAGTATGCCACATAACATAGCACCTCAACGAAGAGAATCGAACCCTCTTCGTGAATATCTGGCAAGAAACGTAACGCATGCTTGAAGTATTTGAAGCCAGGAGGACCTTCCTCGCCAATCCACTGATTCACACTGTACATCAAGCCAAAAGAGATGACTAAAAGTGTTTGGCAATATACTAGGCAAGACTCGCGATGTGAAAAGTCAAGTGGTTGATGATAGACTAGATCGAGTCGCTCTTCAAATTCCATGGGTTGAATAAGGGAGAAGATAGTACCAATGTAAGCATATTGTACCCAGAATAGTCGCTTCGCAAACTCAAAAGGTGGTAATTGAGGCAATGAGCCGCCAATTGGTCTTTTCAATGATGAAGGGTCATCGTAAAGTGGGCGCACATCCCATGCAAGATTTGTGGAGCCGGGATTGAGCCGTTTCGCGAGATGTGTGGTGGACGAAGCACCCACGAAATCTGAGGAAAGATTAGTAAAAAGATAATACAAATGAACTATCTTCTAGCGGAGGACGTACGATGTTCTCCCAATCGATTCAAGAACAGATTGTCTGTCCCTTTGTACCACCAGTCGTCGCGTTCTGGTGGCCCCTCAGAGTAGCGATTGGATATAGATGGTTCACTTGACGGCGTTGGATGACTACCTTCTATCCTGGGTGGTTAAATTGCGTCCGGATGACTTCCTAGGTAGGTATGAAACCTACCTCGCGACGCAGGAGCTTGCGCTTGTAGTTGACGATAGTAGCTGCAAAAAGAGTCAGCACTGACTCTTTTTTCCAACGACCTCGGACCGACTTTACCTCTCGGTTATGGAGACTCGCTTTTCAGCCTCTGAATAGACACAGTTCTTGCCCGCATCCACGCATGCTGCACAAGGGTGGGGTGGATTGCCGGCGCAGCGAGTTTTCCTAGAACGGCAGCGGTTACAGGCTACCATCGACCTTCTTGAGCGATCTTCTGCTGCCTGACGCGATATGCCTGCATTTCCAAGGACCATATTCTTTGAGGCTAGATCTCAGATCTTTTAAGATCTGTTAGACCTGCACAGTTAGAGGGTTGAAACGTTGTAGAATGACACACCCAGACCGGGACGGAAAGCCCCGGTTTCTCCGCTTTTTTTCCCTTTATCTTTTCGGCCCGACCTCCCCAATGCCATATACGATGAAGACATTAATATATATATATCACTTTGTGTCATAACTGTGATAACCGAGGTGTCTAGGTAAAAAATGGTGCATTCTGATATGTTCATGACTTTCAAGCTTATTTGGAGGGGGCTCATCGACAACGCCACCCCACTTACATTCTGCGCTATCTCCAGAGAGTTAGACTGTAGAAACTGAACGACAGGGGGTAAAGATGAAGTTGTGATCAAAATATAGCCACGCCATTTGGGGGGCTTGCAACCCCACCAGGAACCTAAGATAATGTGGTCAGTTTCGAACCGGTGAGTGCAGGTTATCAACACACCTTCAATGGCACGCTACTAAAGAAAAAGGTCCAGCGATCTCTTTTGCTACACTCCTGGCTGAGCTGCTCGAGATCGAATAATTCCCCGATTGGGACGCCCCAGCCCGCCAGCAACCACTCATGAAGAAAGAAATCTTGATTCTGGCATGGATATGCTTCAAAGCTCGGCATATCTCCCACCACGGCGGCAAATTCAAGATCCCAAATCCAGCGCAGCATGGCCTCGGAAGATTCTACTCCAATCACTGGAGGTGCTGCATAGTCGGCCAGTTGCTGACATTCCGCCTGGGACAGCTGTTCATACGCTCGAGTCCAACCCGTGCGAATAAACAAGATATCTCCCGGTCGGAATGTGGTATTCTGACTAGCAGCTACCTCCTGGAGTACAGAAGCTGGGATCGACTGGGTTTCAAAACAATTCACTTCTTTCCCGTTCGCCTCTGCCCAGCCCGCATAGTCCAAGAGAACGCCTCGTCCCACAATACCGCCATTTTCGACCCATACTGAAGCAGAGTTAGTGAAGATAAGATGTTTCAGAATCAGAGAGAACTACCGTGAATGCCATTTCGAGTGGAATTCTGGATGTCGTCCTGAGTGCACCCATTAAAGAACGTTCCTTGCTTCGATCCATAATGTCTGAAGCCATCCCACTGGCTACTACTCTGTGTGTTAAAAACCAAGATATCATCGTTGACTGCCCGGGGAGCTTTGTTCTTGACAGTATGCTCAAAGGCAGATCGTCCAAAGCATGGAGTCGCCATGCTATTGAGAGCCCAATCTGTTGAGACTCGCACGCCCTCAACAATCTCACCAGCAGCCGCGGTGGTGTTCTCTGGCGTCAATAAATTAAGCATGCCCATCTGGTCTTGATCCCCAAACATCCCCCAGGCATTCCCTGGAGGCCCATCTTTGCGCAAAGGCAGGGCATCGAATGCAGGTCTCTGAAACGACATTGTTATGCAAAGGTTGGAGAAGAATAGTTCGGCTTTGATCAAATTGAAGACATCCAGGTGAGAATTTAAAGCTCTTTGAGGTTAAACTAGATTATTTACCCCGCATATTGTTCCGGCATTGTCATATCAAATGACCTCGGGCAAGGCCTAAGACCTGTTGCTAAATAATTTGATGTACGGAAGATGTAGATTGATGAAAGTTCCATACGATCGAACTTAGAAGGGAGCCATCGGATCAAGATCAGCTCCTCGGCGCCAGGCTTGTCAGTCAAGTTCTTGAGGTACGATGTATGGGAGTTTCCATGTTCTTGGAGCTGCGCTCGCAATGAAGTCCGAGTATCGGGCGAGGGCCGAGAGGTCGAAGGATAGATAAATTAGAGAAACTCATAATATCAAAACAATGTTGCTTGGACAACAGAGAAACCAAAAATTGAAACCAAAAAATTAAAGATACTACATATAACAAAATGAGAGGCTTGCAACTTTTTTTTGGTCTTCAATCTGTGTGGGAATAGATATATTCCCGTTGAGAATTAGACAAATCCAACTTTTAGACTTTGCAAGCGCATTTACTCTAAAGGGTTCAAACATCTATAAATAAATGATATTCAAGGCAGCTATATTTATATTTTGTGTGCTGTACTTTGTACATGTACATAAGGGGTACGGAGTACAGTTGTGTACACGTATATCTTGGACACGTGACCCAAATGGACAACACATGACACACATTATTTCGGACGGCATGTCTCTGTTGCTGTGGTAGCGCTATTCTTTTTTTTTCGATTATATTCCCCACATACCCAATTTATAACGATGGCTGGATAGGTGGAACCGCGTGGGCCAGTTGCAGATTCAGAATTCAGCCCCCTGGAAGACACGGCCGATCGTTTCCTGACGCCTTGTCGTCATCCCCAGCAGTCGCCACCCCCAGCCGCAATGCTGTAATTGCTTGGCAGAGAAGCCTTTGCAGGGCCTGTCCTTGCGAGTATGGAGTATATACTCCGTACAGCGATTCAAGATCAGTGCCTCAGGGGGTGTTTCGGATGGTAAAAGGGGATGCGTATATTAATTGGGGGAGCCTGTGATGGATCATAGAAGACGTCTATTGACCAATGTTATGGCGCATTGCGTCGTTGACCCGCAGCTTTTTACATGTTCGACGAGTTATGTTCGTCGCAGCAAGGCGCAGATCACAGAGAGTCAAATTCGTACCCGCACAGCAGTACCTTGGATATCGAGAGAATTATCATCAAGGGGAATATCATACGGTGGTTGGGGTCCACGGCGGGCACAGCCCCCAATGGGTATCCGATGTATACGCAGGGGAAATGCGGTTGGAAATGCCCAATACATATGTATGCCCTGTCTCGGACGGGGCTCCTTGGTGGATCCTAAAAAGGGTGGATGACGAACGGCAATTGCTGATGGGCTGGGGTTCCACCTCAGTCGCCCTTTCACAGCCCGCATCGTTGGCACCTCCAATCAAATTCTGCACCAAAAATATCTCCTGGATAGTCGATGGCATCTGGAGCCCTTCTCCTACGCACATCTTTCTTTGAACGTCGCTCGCTTTGTTTTACTTAGGTCCCATATTGTTTCTCACATAGGTTCGATCTCTGGTCAGATCGGCTGGAACATCTTGTTTCCAACATACCTCAAGAGATCATTGCGCTGTTGCGCTGTCGTCATTGAGGCGCCGGATTGTAACTGGAATTGAAACTTTTAACCTTCATATTTTCTTTTTCGATTCTTGAGATACCACCCCGCCGGTTAGATCTCGATTTGCTTTCCACCAGAGCCGGAGGACACGAGAACCACGCATAATGTCTTTCCCTCAGAGAGGCACATCGCCTCATTCGCCTCATTCCGGCAACTCGTCTCATTCACCCCAGGCGAGCGAGACTAGCCTGTATGGCCCACGAGAAGTGAGTGACAAGCCACTCGGAACGAAAAAAAAAAAAAAAAAAAAAAAAACAAAACAAAACCACCTAGACAGTGGATGCTAACACAGTTCGCCTAACAGCAAGGGTACGGCTACGAGGAGAAAACCGAGAACATCGACAGCCAGCAGTCTCTGCTCTACCGCAATCAGCCCAGCCCATTCAACGCTTCGTTCGATGACCCATACGCCTCAAGCGATTCCCTCCGTCGTTACACACTACATGATCCCGGAGTCACTGCCTTCCCCGATGGTCCATACCAGGAGTCTGCAGGAGGCCTCAACCGTCGCTCGGGTATTCCGTCGGGGATCCAGTCACCTATGTCCGAGACTCCGTCCGAAGCCTGGCAGAACAGACAGGCACCTGGATCAGGGCTGCGGCGTTATGCTACGCGAAAGATTAAGCTGGTTCAGGGCTCCGTGCTCAGTGTCGACTACCCGGTCCCAAGTGCAATTCAGAACGCGATTCAGAAGGAGTACCGAGAATCAGAGGAGGGCTTCCCGGAAGAATTCACCCATCTGCGTTGTAAGTCTTCATGTACAATATTGGTGATGCGACTAGCGCTAATCGCATACAGATACCGCGGCCACCTGTGACCCTGACGAGTTCACCCTACGAAACGGATACAATCTGCGACCGGCTATGTACAACCGACACACCGAGCTTCTAATTGCCATCACCTATTACAATGAAGATAAAGTTTTGACCGCGCGAACACTCCACGGTGTTATGCAGAACATTCGGGATATCGTCAATTTGAAGAAGTCGGAATTCTGGAACAAAGGTGGCCCGGCCTGGCAAAAGATTGTGTGCTCCTTGGTCTTTGACGGTATTGATCCTTGCGACAAAAATACTCTCGACTTGTTAGCCACAATTGGTATCTACCAAGATGGCATCATGAAGCGCTCCGTCGATGGTCGGGAAACCGTCGCACACATTGTGAGTTCCCACAGTCCTCTCGATTCGCCTTGGCAGAATATACCATTCCTCTATTCCTGTGTTCTTATACTCGACAAAAATCCACTAACAAGGCTTAGTTTGAATACACCACCCAACTCTCTGTCACCTCCAACCAACAATTGATTCGGCCCCAAGGCAACGAGTCGTCAAATCTTCCTCCGGTTCAGATGATTTTCTGTCTCAAGCAGAAGAACAGTAAGAAGATTAACTCCCACCGCTGGCTTTTCAACGGTTTCAGTCGAATCCTCAACCCCGAAGTTGTGATTCTTATTGATGCTGGAACTAAGCCGGGCAAGAAATCACTCCTTGCCTTGTGGGAGTCCTTCTATAACGATAAGAACTTGGGTGGATCTTGCGGTGAGATTCACGCCATGTTAGGGAAAGGGTGGAAGAACTTGATGAATCCTCTCGTCGCCGCACAGAACTTCGAGTACAAGATCTCCAACATTCTTGATAAACCGCTAGAGAGTGCCTTCGGGTACGTCAGTGTGTTACCCGGTGCCTTCTCCGCGTACCGCTATCGCGCTATTATGGGTCGCCCCTTAGAGCAGTACTTCCACGGTGATCATACTCTCTCTAAGCAGTTGGGCAAGAAGGGCATTGAAGGCATGAACATCTTCAAAAAGAATATGTTCCTTGCTGAGGATCGTATTTTGTGTTTCGAACTTGTCGCGAAAGCTGGATTCAAATGGCATCTAACCTACGTCAAGGCGTCAAAGGGCGAGACCGATGTACCAGAGGGTGCAGCCGAGTTTATCAGTCAGCGACGTCGTTGGTTAAACGGTTCATTCGCTGCCAGTTTGTATGCAATGATGCATTTCGGACGAATTTATAAGAGTGGCCACAATCTCCTGCGGCTGTTCTTCTTACATATCCAGATGACATACAACTTTATGGGTCTTGTCATGACCTGGTTCTCTCTCGGTATGTTTTTGAATCTCGTGTTATTTGGTGACACTTTTGACTAACATATACCTAGCCTCGTTCTGGCTGACTACTACTGTCATCATGGATCTTGTCGGAACTCCTAGTAGCGCCAACAAGGATAAGGGTTGGCCTTTTGGTAACGAGGCTACGCCAATTGTGAACAACTTCCTGAAGTATGGATACATATTCTTCTTGATGCTGCAGTTCATCCTAGCGCTAGGAAATCGACCGAAGGGGTAAGTCAAGATTCGAATGAATCTCATAATGTCAATCTGACTTTTAAAACAGTTCGCGTCTCGCATACACGCTTTCGTTCGTCTACTTCAGTATCCTTCAAGTTTACATCATCATTCTATCGTTCTACCTTGTCAAGAACGCCTTTACTGGAGGCACACTTGATTTCTCTATGGACGAAGGTTTTGCCCACTTTATGAAGTCTTTCTTCAGCTCTTCCGGGGCTGGTATCGTCCTGATCGCTTTAGTTTCGACTTATGGCATTTACTTCCTCGCCAGTTTCTTGTACATGGATCCCTGGCACATGTTCACGTCCTCATGGGCATACTTTGCTGGCATGACTTGTTCGATCAATATCCTGATGGTCTACGCTTTCTGCAACTGGCATGACGTTTCCTGGGGTACCAAGGGATCAGACAAGGGTGATTCCCTTCCCGTCGCTGAGACGAAGAAGGATGACACCAAGTCCAATTTCATTGAAGAAGTCGATAAGCCGCAGGCCGATATCGATAGTCAGTTTGAATCGACAGTCAAGCGAGCGCTGGAGCCGTACGTTGAGCCTGAAGATAACGATGAACCAAGCATGGACGATGGCTACAAGGCTTTCCGAACCAACCTGGTGTTGATTTGGATTTTCAGCAATTTGATCCTTGTACTGTGTATCACCAGTGAAGGAATTACCCGTCTCTGTCTCACAGTATGTATCTCCTCTTCACTCTAGGTTGTGGCACACACTAACATTCACAGAACACTTCTACTGTCCGTACCTCGAAGTACTTCGCCGCTATTCTGTGGACGACCGCCGGTCTGTCGATTTTCCGCTTTATTGGATCCCTTTGGTTCCTAGGCAAGTCTGGTATCTTGTGCTGTGTCTCTCGCCGCTAGACTTTATGCATAGCCAGTTGTAAATATCCGCCTTTTTTTTGGCTTGCATTG